CTTAACTGTATTAATATTATAATATTACAGAAGAATTAGTACATCAATATTTAACAATAATATAAAAAATTGTGTTCTCTGGATCAACTTTGTACATAGGTACGTCATCCATGAAAACATACCCACTCATAGAAAATTTAACTTTCTGGAAAAACTGGTACAGCAGGAATTCTGAAAATATCAGTAGGGATCGACAGGAATTGAGCACTAATTATTGGCGCAAAAAAAATTGTAAAAAGTTAAATTTAAAGTGGATGTGGGGCTAGGGTAACGTTATCCCAGCCCCACCCGAAGAAAATTCGACTTTCTGGAAAAACTGGTACAGCAGGAATTCTGAAAATATGACAGGAATTGGCAAGAATTGAGCACTAATTATTGGCACAAAATAAAATTGCAAAATTAAAAATTGGGGGGCTGGGGTAACGTACGTGGACCGGATTGACATCAAACTTTTTGACGCAGCTGGTTTGACGCCGTAGCTTAAAAAAATTGTGCATTTGACAAATTTATATGGAACATTCTGTATATATAAAATATAAATAATATGAGTATTAAATAAAATTGTATTTTGTTCCGTTATCAAAATAAATATAACTCCTGTCTTTTTTTAAGACAATTTATAAACGACCGGTTTGATGCTGCGAGTACGCGATGTGTGAATATACAAATAAATCGAATTAATCTTAGTCAGTTAGAAATTATGACAAATCAGATAACTGTACAATAACGGTATAACAGTATAATCGATACAATAACTAACAATATAAAATAATAAAATATAAATATAAAAATAAATACTATTACTATTATATTAAGATACTACTCTGATTGCCTTTTCACAATTCAAATTGTTACAAAGGCCGTTTACTACATTCGCGTTCGTGTATCGTTGTACACAAAATACAATTTTTTTTTATAAATATGAATGTAAATATTTTTTTATGGGTTTTTAATCTATAAAGTTTCTTATTATTGCTAATAAGAAAAATATTCATATAAAATGAAGTTATTTTTATTTATTATGACTTATTATTTATTTTTATATATACAGTGACTTGACACCCACAATTTTTAAAAATTGCGGCGCTGAAACGGCCGTGCCAAAACGTCCTAGACCGTATTCGCCCCTTCCCCCCCACCCGTCGCTCGTATTTTTTTTAATATAGTACATTGATATATTTAAAAAATGTAATATATAAATAAGAATATAAATTACTAGTCCATCGTTATAATATAAAAATAAATTCAATAATATGTCTGATCACGGGTATCAATTTTTGTTAAATTCTTATATCATAACATTTTTGGTCGTGGAACGAATAATGATATTATCTTCCATGGATATTGCTATGGTTATAGACATTTACAACCATAACCGAGGTATTTATCAGATAATATAAAGTAATTTAAAGCAGTAACTGGTACCTATAGGTTTTTTCGGTTCCGATTTCGGTTTTGGTTGTTCAATTAATTTTTTAAGGGTTCCGACTTAAGTTTCTGTTTTTTTAAAAGAGTAAGGGTTCTAAAAATGGTTAATTTCGGTTAATTCTGATTATTAGAGATTTATTATAATATAATATGAAATTATTTATTTATTCTTGTTTAAATTGTAATTGTTTCATTTCATGAAAATAGAAGGTATTATGAAGAGTTAAAAAAATAATTATAAATATATTAAATATATTATATAAGCCTATTATTTTTCTTTGAGTTACATTAAGTTATTTTATTCCAACATTGTAAGAACTTATAAAATATTATGATTTAATGAAATAAATGTCTTTAATTTAAAATTTAATTTTAATTAAAAATCATAGTTAATATGGCTACTGTTGTAGCTACAAATTTTTTATAAACATAAATTATATTTAATACTTAAAAGACAAGATAGATTATTTACTCATTGTAAATTGTAATATATAAATAATCATATGAAAATAATAATAATAATAACAATACAAATTTCCTTATTATATGCATTACTCTATTACAGTTTACAAAACAAAATAATAAAAACACAAAAAGATTTTACTTTTATTTTTCTGAACCTTCAATTGGACAAACAAAGTAATTATTGCCATAGTTTTAATAGTCTAAATAATTGACCTAAATTTACCCTTCTATAATTAAAGTTACGATTTTTCATTTTTGGAAATAAAGGTTTCGATTTCAGTTACGGTTCCTAAATTATAAAGGTTAACCGGTTCTAGTACCGGTTTTTTCAATTAGTTACGGTTCTGGTCCCTGTTTTAAAGTAATCCTTTTTTTACAACATATTTACTAGTTAATAATTTTTTGATGCATTTACGCATATTGTATATTTTTGTATTTATAAGAGCTATATAAGTCCTTATTAATTTTACTTGACTATTTTTTTTTTTTACAACATAATATCTGGTACTTTTTTTTGTACATAGGTATTTAATCATTTTTTTTATGCACAAATGCATGCATATTTGTGTATTTTATAGAGCTAGAAACCCCTAAGCCAAATAATAATCATAATAACTGACAATATTTGTTTCCATATTCTTTAACTTGCAAATATTGGCCAAAAATATATTTTTATAGATTAAAAACATGGTTAAGTTCAATAATAGGCCACCATAGACTTACAGGTTTAGCTTAGCTGCGTGTGAATAAAAATATTATTGTATCCATTAATGAAATAATCAACAAATTTACCAAAATGAAAAAAAGGAATTCGGTATTTGTTATTTGACTACTTACCAACCTAATGTTTTCTACTTATATATATATATATATATATATATATGTTAAATGATATTAGTTAAATTATGTTACCTATCTCAATTATTTTTTGAAGTTTTTAAATACATTTTTAATAGGTACTATTACTACTATGATTATTTGTTGTATTCTTTATACAGAACTCAGACTGAAGGTACAATTTAATATAGAAACTATTTGTGTTGTTATTATTAATACTTATTTTATATGCAGTATGCTTTAAATATATTTATTAAATAAATATTTAATTCAATTTAGTACTTGTATTTTCATTTATTCACTCGAATGAGTAACAGGAACATGAGCTATAGGTAATGAACTGTAAATTATTTTTAAGTTTGTATTGAAGAAAAATTAGTTTCACCCCCCCCCCCCCCCCTCATGGCTTCAACTCAAATACACCCTTGTTTCGTTATTAGTGAAAAAGGGTTATGTGTAAATCAGAGAACCGGATTTTTGTCGGAAATGGAACATGCCCAGGTCACTAACTTTATGTTAAATGTTGATGAAACAAAACAACTTATAATTTATAAAAAATACTTTAAAAAATTAATCTTTATAGATCATATTATTGATACATTAATAATATTTTAAAATAGCTTCAATTAAAGTAAAATTCGTATTTAGATTTTAGATATTAAAAAATGTATTCTTGTTTGAATACTTTCTTAATTTAATTTTTAATATTAATAGGTACTTTATAAATCAGTGCTTCTTTTAATTTTTGTTATGTAGACCCAGAGGTGGAACTAAGAATTTTTACGCTCGAGGAAAATATTAAAATTACGCCCTATCATAGACCAATAATCAAATACTCTTCTCGAGAATTTATTTCTAATAATTAATATACAATCATACTTATTGAGTTTTAACCTAATATCAGTATTTAACAAAGTTAAATATATAAAATTAGTTGTTAATAATTATAAAAATTACACCTTCTAAGATTGTACGTTCGGGAAAAATTCCCGTCTTCTACCCCCTAGTTGAGCCTTTGTGAAGACCTCACTATTTAAAATAAAATTAAGATGTATAACTTCTTATCATCGAATTTATTGAAATAATATGGATTATCAATAAGCAGAAAGAATTACCGTATACATGCGATGTTAGAACAACACAAATCGCACAATATTGATTATGACATTGTATACGGATTATATATTTATATATATCATTCAAGTCTAAATGATGAGATTCGACAATGACAATCTTAATTTTTCATTATAAGTATAATATGAATTTTTTTATATTTTTTAATAAGTCTCTGATGTATAATAATTATGATTTTTAAACGCATTTGTAAATAGTTAAAATAAAATAAATTTATACAAATATTTCATGCTCTTTTAAAATATATAGGACCTCTAGAGGGACACGACATACAGTTTGAGAAACACTTGCTATGTATGATATTTTTATTGGTATATATGTACTACTGTAAAAATCTTCAAGGGAAATAACTTTATTAAAACACAAATTAATGTCTCTCTTGCTTAAAATCTAAAATATGAACAATTTAATAGACTATTTCATCGTATAAATTATTTTGAAATTACCTTGGATATCGAGTTATTTTATTTAATATGAATCAAAATTGAGCTTAAATTAAATTTTCATATATTTAAATTAATGTTATTGTTGCAGAATAAATACATTAAACTATAAACTTCGATATTTCAATAATAACGTGATGGATAGGTACATTTTTTAAAACGAATCTAAATGACTAAGTTTATATATTAATAAAATAATCAACAGTTGAAAATATTATGCCATTAGAATTATCACTTTCTAAAAAAAAAAATACAACAGTATATTGTTATAAATTTAAAAATAAATTAACAGTCTATACGAACAAAAAAAACATTGTAATACCGTACTTTATAAACTCAAACTTTTGAAAAAAAAATTCAGAAAACTTTTCTGATACAGATACTAAAATTATTATTCTCTTAGATTGTTATTTTATAATCAATTTTCGTTTCATGCATATGTATTTTCTATTTATTATAATTAATTTAATAGTGTTAAAAGAAGTATATTAGTTATTCGTGATTGTTTTATATATGTGGTCGTATATAATAAATTAAACATATAGCTTTATAACAAATATATGGCTAATAAAATGTCAATGTAGTGACTTAATAAAAGATTTGAATTATGTAATTGTGTAACATTATATTGAATTGCTTACAACCAATGAAAATACTGATATGTGAACATGCGCATTTGTATTTTAATCACGCGGGACATTCAACTGTTTTGCTATTCATTCGTGAACTTCGTAGTCTCAGGTGAGTACATTCCAATATAAATACATTTAAATTATTTTTTCTATAATATTTTATGACATTTTATTTATGAAAAAATGTTATATTCATAACAATTAATTGTATACAATTGATCATTATATTTATCTTACATTGTATTTTATAATTAAAATATATATAAACTTCATACTAACGTATAAAAAAACACGTATAATGTTCATACAATTACTATAGAATGATGATGATTAGTTTGTTTATATTTTTTAATTTTTTTATCGATTCAATAAATATCATTGAGTAGATTATAAATTATTAAACTAATTTCGTTTATTTCTACAACATATATGAATGATTTATTAATAATATACTTAATTTTGGTACTTCAGTATTTTTTTATTTTATTATTATTATTTATAAATTAACAAAACCGCAAGGGGTAAAGTATCGACATACAATCCTCAGTAATTTTATAACAAAGGTTACACTTACATGCTATAATTTAGTAAACACATACAAATTTAATTACAATACTTATTTATATTAATTATCCAAAAAAGGTTATAGTCTAACATATTCTACGATGTATTATGTTCATTAGACCTGATTTGTGTAACTATTAGAGTTAGTTTAATTTAAATATATATAAGTAATATTTAATGCTCGTGTATTAAGATTAATTTTGTATTAGAACCTTTTTTTTTTTCCTTTATTTGAGATAAACAATCTATATCTAAGGGGCACAATAAGTTTAAATGGTTAGAGTAATTTACAACATGATACGCTTGACGTGAGAAGTCATCCACTAATGACACTCAATATATTAGAACCTAGAAATTTTAATTTGGCATTTATAATTATTATATACTGTACATTTATATTGTATAAATTTTTCTCTTAAACTTTATAATGATTAGAAATGTTTAATTGGGAATAATTAGGGTAAAACATTCAGTTTTAAAAGTCTTTAAATAAAATTATTTTTTAAATTAATTAGTTAAAATTTATTGAATCACTAAACTATTTTACTACTAATTTATAACTGTGTTTTACGTAAGTAAGTCAAAAATTGCCCCAATGGATTATTAACGTTAGTGTTATACTCCTCCATAAAAATATTATAATATATTTTTCAGTTAGTGAAATATAGAACGAAATAAGACACTCAAGTATTGAAAAAGGAAATTACATTTTATTTAGTTTCAATTTTTCAACTCTTATTTATTTCTTGTATTCAGACTTATATATATGTACAAATTATATTCAAATACAAGAACTAAAACCTTTTATTATACATTAACAATAATTATATTGGTAAAATATTTAATTAATTCATGGTTTATTAAAGTTAAATATGTTGTTAGTATTATGTTTTGTTAATTTATTTTTATAATATTAAATTTTAGATTTTATATAAATTACATTTATATAGTTATAGTTTAAATTATAAGTTTTATTAATATCCACTTAAAAATTATTTTAATTCTCGCATAGATGATTACATTAATGCATTAGTTTTTAATATTAATAAATATTACAAATATTTTAATATAAAATAGTTTTAAGTTATTAATAAATATATATATATACATATATATATATATATATATATATATATATACATCAAAATTATCATCGTATCAAGACATGCGATGCACGCCGAACCTTTCACATCTTCAACGGTATCTTCTTCGAAGAACGAACAAATTAGTATAAAATTCCTTACGGAACACGGTATACGAGTATGGTCATAATTTATCTTCCATCTATATAAATTTATTAATTTATTAATTTTTTTCTTATAAAAAATGTAATGTTATAAATTAATTAATTAAAATCTTAAAAGTAATTGTTTAAAATTAACTAACAAACAAAATAGTTTGTAACTATTAAGAATATAACATTTTTTATAATTATTTAATAATATTTAGACAGTAATTTATACATAATTTTTTATATTTTCATTAAGTACCCTTAACAAACGATTTTTATAGCTACTTGTTATTTTCTTTTTCTTGTATTAAGTTGTTGTTGATAAATATATATTAATTATTTTATTGGGTTTAGAAATTATTTCACCATAATTTAGTTATTTTTCTTTCTATTCGATGTTAGTTTCATTTTATTTGTAATAATATCCGAATCATAATAAATAATAAAAAAATCAAAAAAAATTAAATAGTTAATACTCATAAAAAAATAGATAAATAAATAATAATAATATTCCAGACTAAGCATTTATTTATTTGTTTATTTATTTATATATTGATCCAAATTATTAATTTCAATCTGATAATTAAAGTTTCAAAATTGATTTTAAAAATAACTTAAAATATTAATTTTATTTTTTATGAATTACTTTGATATAACAAAAGTAATAATATTTTTTATAATTTTGATTGTAATAAGTTTTCAAACAACATTTCCTTACATTTTATAGGTCTACATTTTTAACTCTCTCTATATATATTGCATTTAAAAATTATATTAAAAATTATACTTATTATTATATATTATTAAAGTGACCTAACTTAATTATTTTGGTCTCGGCATAAATATAATACTATAATTTGAATTTATAGTTTGTTAAATTATAAAATTAACTAAAATTGGAATGTATACAATCAAATTATTTTTAAATGTTTATACAAATATTTATTTATTATAATTTTAATCATTATAACCACTAGTCAATCTTATAAACAACTAAATAATCGGTACAAAAGGCAAATATGGTGTAAACTTATTCTGAAAGATTTGCAAGCTCATCATTATACAAGAAAAAATATGACGAGTAGACGAAGTTAGTATAAAATCAACAAAGGTATAAATCCATTGTGACGAGAGCTCTCGAAAAAAGTTCATTGGATAAAAGAAAGTCAGGTACCCCTTATCTAACCCTCATGTTCACCAACATCGTGAATTTTGATTAAAAAAGTTACCAAATTACGATACATGTTAACATGGATATATTATTAATTTAACATTAATTCCAATGAAATTACATTCATTTGTATGAGTAAATTGTATATATAATTGGTCAAACAATAAATAAAATACTAATTTTAAGCACTATATACATTATAATAATTAAACAATCCTTGGAACACAAATAAGCTTATAGATGTATAATAATACCATATAATTTGGACACATTTTTTCATTAAATTTATGTATTTTAATACAATTTAAAGTACCTATAATACTAACCATCTACTTTTCATCTTAAGTTCTAACTATTTTTAAATTTAAATTTCATATTTTAGAACATTATATTTTGATTCTTAAAATCCTAATACGAAATCAGCAGCTAAATATTTATAAGTATTTAAAGTTTAAATTATGGGAATGGAAATGCTAGATATCTCTCTAAATGTTGATGCTCCACTTCACTCATCTAAAAATTAATCATCTTAAGAGAAACTGATTATATAATATTGTCATTAATAATTATAAATAATTAACAACTGGTAAATCATTTTAATTTAGTTATTAATCAAAAAAGAATTTATTGGTTTAATGATAATGTTTTGAATATGTGAAGCAAAAAATATATTAGTTAACAGCTGTATTTTTTTTTTTTTTGCGTGATTCTATTACACTTTTTCCTATAGTCAATACTTAAATCGGAAAATAAATATTCCTTCCTCTCTATAATTTTTATTTGCATTTGAGCAATTTTAAATAATTTAAAACAAATTTGAAATATTTGACTTAGTCAATTATTATAAACAAAATAAAACTGTTTAACGAATTTCTCATGAAACGTTCGATTGATTTCACAACTATAAAACTATAAAAGGATACTCCACAAATAATTTATATTAATTTTAATTTATAATTGTATTTTTAATATAATGGCAATTGGTTTATCATCGATACCAAATGTATTCAAATATATGAAACAAAATTAATTTTGAATATCATATAGAGATTTTATAAATGATGAACTAAGATTCTTTAAAAAAAGAAAACAATGTTATACTCCATATTCTTTCTAATTGTATACTAATTATTAAGTATTCAAAATATTTTGTCATTCATGGTTATTTGCTATAGTGGGTGGGTATTTTTATTATTTTTCTTTTATTAACTGATACTATAAAATAATTAAAATCACGCATGGTGTTAAATTGCCTATATAAGTCGCCGTTTTAAATATTAATTTATTTAATTTAACTTTTCCTTATTGCAAAAATCCGTTTTAAATAAGTAATAATGAATTGAAAAGATAATTAATCTAATTGAATCAATTGAATAATTCAAATTTAATCATAATTATAGAATATCCATATTTAGTATAATTCATTTAAGTAAAAATCTTATTGATAACCTGAAGCAATAGATATAAATTCTAACAATATAGGACTATAAATATAATCAAATAATTGAATAATAATTATTATGATTTAATAATCATTATAAATAATAATAGTTTGTCATTTTTGCAGGTTAGGATTAAGCGTCTTTTGAAAATTTTAAACTATGAAAATTAGTACTTTGGCTTCATGTGATTCTAATTCTCCTTATCATTTAATTACGTCCAATAGTAAGTATTTTACAATACGCTTCATATATTAGTTTTATACAACTATTTCTAAATAAGCTATGATTAATAAATTAACTATGAATATAATGATTATTTTATATTCAACAATATTAGATTCATGCCATTAGTAGAAATATATACGAGTATTATATGAAATTAAAAATACATTTTTCAAACTATACATTTATTTTTTTTAATCGATTACAAATAATATAAATAAATGTTAAAAAATTTTTCAATTTTACTAATACTTAAAATAATGTTTTTTATTAATTAACAAAATATATTCTATAATTTTTTACTTCTGTTTTTTTATTAGTAATATCGTAGTAATATTTAATGCTATTTATTTTATGCATCAACAATAAAAATTTGTCAAAAATAATAAATACAAGTAAGTACTTAATGTATACAACTATACGATCAAGGACAAAATACGTCCATTTGGACGAAGCCGTTTGGACGTGGGGACAAATGGACGTCAAAAAAATTATATATATAAATTAGTAAATAAAATAAATTATTTATATTTTTTATAATATGCAAATTCTAATGTCAAAAATATTTATTCAAAAAATCTTCACCATAGCGATTTAAAGTAATTAATGACACCTTACTTGTACATTTTAATGCAATTTCTACACGACTAACACGGTTATAGATGTGTATTGTCGTGTCTCATGTATCACCGTGTTTCGATAATGTGTGATAATTATTACAAGTTGTAAAAACCAATAAGTTATATATATATTGATATAAGAGGTACCTACCATATTGCCAAAACGATAAAATTTGATAAGTTTTATATTATGATACGATAACATTAGTTATATTATGAACATAAAATATCAATGGTTTTATAACTTATAAATATGAGTATATATTTTTTGTTTTTGACGTCCATTTGTCCCTATTCGACAACAACAATATATGTATGAGAAAGTTTATTCATAAATGTGATAAAATCCACCATTTTATTTATAATATATGTATGACATAACTTAAAAATATAAAGCAACAGGAAATAGTTACATAACTATATAATAGTTAAATAGTAAAATCAAGTAATAAACAAAAAAAAAAAAAAAAATATTTGCAACATTTTAATTATTACTATATTTTTCTTTCATCCTTGATTTTACAATTTTGTTAATATTTAGGGGACTACTCCCATCGTTATCCAATCATCATAATCCAAATATTACATTATATATATATATATATATATATATATACAATATATAACTTATATTAAGTAAATGAAAGAATTAATTGAATTCCTTTATTTTTTATAACAATTTTGTTAAAAATAGAATAAGATTAATCATTAAATTGTTGGATAAAAATCTTCTAATTTTTCAATTAAAATTTTGTTATTTCAATACAAAGGTATAAAAATGCTTATTTAAATGAATCACTTCATTACTCGAAATACAATTAATTTAGATATAGTTTTGGTTTTTTTTTTTTTTTTTTTAATTTGGCGCTTAGTTTTTTGCACAGCATTAGTTTAAAATTCAATAATTTTTTACTAATTTTCTATAGCTCACCGAATTTCAAAATTAAAATATCCATAGTTTAAGTTTCTAATTAATACACTTTTTCAATAATAAATTATTTTACAAATAAAAATGTATAAAATATTATTGACTTTAAAAAATAATTATTATCAGTATTTTTCATGTCTTATGTAATAATTAAGATTGAAATTAGAATAACATTATTAAATAAAATACATTTGACAAAGAATTTGTAATCATTTTATCAATTTTTTTTTCAGACAAGTTTTGCAATTGGTCTTACGATGAGAAAATATGTTGGCCTATTGCAAAGGCTAATACAAATGTATCCCAACCCTGTCCAAAAGAACTAGGATTTAATAAAATGAGTAATTAACAATTTATTACTTTTTATTAAAATGATATTAATAAGTGATAATATAAAGAAATTCATTATCTTAATATAAGTTTAATTTTAATAAGCTATATATGAAATTTATATAACAATGTATTTGAGTTGATATGTTGATCTTAAAGTTCAAAAAAAAAAAATAGACAATGTTTAATATATTTTATGAATTGTTTAGTAGTTTTTTTTTTTGCAATTTAATACATCACGTAATCTTAATTTCTTAGTTTTAGATTTAATATATATTTTTTATCAATATAATTTCTCTACAAATATAAAAAAAATATTTTTCGACTTAACGCAACAAAAAATAACTAAAAACACATTATTTCATGTCATTGTCTTATATTTATTTTTGAATTTAAAGTTGAACATTTTGAAAATTTAAATATGTTTCATAAACAAAGTGGTTTAATATTAAAAATAATTAATATACTAAATATATTTAGTATTTATTTAATAAATATTTATACATATTTAGCGTTTTTACTAACATATAAACAATAAACTTCTTTTTTAAATTTTAATATATTATAATTTTTCGAAATCATAATATTGAATAATTTAACACAAATTTTCAGCAATTATTATAATCTATAATGATCTAAAAATAATTATGAAAACACGGTTATATATTTATATATTACGAATAAGCAGTAATAATAATTTATTTGTTAAAATTGAATGAAAAAAAAAATTATAGGAAATAAATTGTTGTCCCATAAATTACAAACAAAATTAAAGACATTAATATTTTTAATGAAACAGTACATTTTATATCGATATCGTAATTCAAGTACCAACTTTTATCAATTAATTCGTTTAACTATATATCAAGATATTTGGTTCTATTAAAACTAAAATAAATAATATTATAGTTAATAAATAACTTAAATGTAAACTAAGTAAATTCTATAGACAATATTTTAAAAATATATTTTGTTTATTGCTCAAACAAATTTAGCGTTATTCCTCCAAGTGATCATATTTTAATATTTTTTTGTTAATAATTTATAAAACATTGATCAGCTCAATTTTTCTTAATATTATTGCGACAAAAAAATTATTTTATTAATTAAATAATATAGTTTATGTTGATAATTAACATCCAGTATTTATACATTAAAAGTTTTTTTATTACTATTTTATATTAGTTATTATAACTCCAAAATTCTGATTTGTTAGGGAAATCTAAAATTTACGATGATAAAATTATGCGGCTATATAGGTACTGCTTTGAATTTTGTATTATATATTTTAAGCTACATTTTTTTTTTTTTTTTTTTAATAATAGAAATGGTCTATAAATACTGTAGAGAAGATGGAAGGTGGGAAAATGTTTCACATTTTTTTGGATCAACCGATTATAGTAGCTGTTATACTGAAGAATTAAAAACATTACTGAAAGAACTTGGATCAGTTAACGATACAAAAGTAAGAATAGTTAATTATTTCAAATTAAAACTTATAAGTTATAATTGTATTAAGTTATTTATTTGTTTATTCAATTCGAAGAAAAAATTTAACATAGCTACCAATACCGGATTAATAGAAATTGTTGGTTCTCTTGTATCAATCATTTCATTAATCATATCATTGTGTATTTTTATTAGACACAAGTAAGTACACAACTTAAATACACATTTTTATTTAAGAAAAATATTTTAAACTATATGCTAAATTTAAAAATAGATTTTAAAAATACTAGAAAATTCAAATTACTGACTATTTTAATATAAATACTATAATTAAAATATAATTTATCAAATTTTTACACAGCCTTACTACATAATTAAATAAATAACAAATAATTGTAGGACTAATACATTTCAGGCTCTATCAAGAAACTATAATTATATATAATTCAAGTAATTGTGACAGTATATAGATATATAACAACATACTAAAAATTTGACACTGTATAATTACAATCAATACTATTTTCATTCGTTAAAAATTCTATGTTGTTACCATAATTAGTGACTACGAATGTATAAATAAATTATAGATACGTACTTAAATTAATGTAAAAAGATACTTAATTTATCATAATTTTAAATTGCAAAAATAATCCTTTAAAATAAGTTTCATAATGAAATGTAATATGTGTACATTTATCAAAAACGAATATTTAATAAAACATATTTTTAATAATTCACATAACCTTTTTAAAATACGTCTATATCGTAGCATGTTTTACAGTTATAAATAATTTATACTTATATTCAAATTTAGATTTTATTAAAAAAACTTGTATTGTTATATGAATAATACATATACATGTATTCTTATTTAAATTATCACGTGCGAGATTTTAAATCATATTTTCACTTATTATTGAACTTAATGGTTAATTTTTCTATAAAAATATAATAATAATAATAGAAATCTAGGAAAGCTAACATATATATATATATATATATGTGTGTGTGTAGTATTTAAATACATTAAAATATATTATATTTTATAATGTATTAAATATTATTAATTTACTTTTTGCAACTTCAGGGGTTTATTGGAACAACGATTCAAAATACATATGAATCTATTTGTTGCTTTGTCATTACAAATGTTTATTAGACTTATTTTAAATATTGATAAATTGGATTTATTAAAAACTAAATTTGACCGCAAAAATGTGAACTGTTATGTCGATTGCAACAACCAGACATATTTAGTTTATACTGGTAATTGGATTTTAGGAATTATGTACACAGTAAGTTGAAATAATCTATTCATATTATTATTAATACTTAATCTTATTTTTTATATTAATTTTTAATGTTTTTTAGCCAATCATTTGTGAGAGCACTCAGGTTATATTAGAATGGTCAAAAACTGCAAGTTTTATGTGGATGTACAACGAAGGAGTTTACCTATATAGAATAATAAAATCTAGAGTTTTAAGAATAAATCCAATAAATTTACGTATGTATTTATTTGGTTGGGGCTTACCAGCTTTATTGACAGCTGTATGGTTATTGGTGACAATGGTTTACTACAAAAAATCATCTAGTGTTTGCTGGTGGGGCTACAATCTATTACCTTTTTTTTGGATACTCGAAGGACCTCGGATTGTAATTATTATTGTAAGTCTAGATCTAATAAATAATCGTAATGAAATGTGATTGAAATATGATTGAAACTATAAAATGTTTGATTTATTTAACCAGATAAATTTTATTATTTTGATTGTTGTATTGAGAGAGCTTTTAAAGAAAATCAAATCAAAATTGACACCATCAAATGAACTTGATATCATAAGGCATGCATTTATTAAATTAATTAACAACTAATAATATTTATATAAAATTTAAATTTTAAATGTCCTTAATAATTATTTTGTATTAAATGTTTAGTGGGTATTAATTTATTGCACAAAAATTAAACTGTAATTTCTCAATGAATTAATTGATTTAATTTTAATGAGTATATATAACATTCTGAACTTTTCTACTACTAATTTATTTTGATCAGTTTTATTATTCAAAAAGGAATCAAAATATTAATATTATTTAAGTTCTTGACAGATCATGTTAATTTTTAAAAAAAAAAAGAAACGTTACAAAATGTCGACAAATAGATACAGATATTGTAAATATTTGTAATTTTTATTTAATTGTTTATTTTATAAATATTTAATAAAATATTTATCATAGCAATTTAAAAATCAAATAAAACATTTACATTCAAAAAAAATTAAATAATGAGGATATTTAAAATTTAATTTTGTTTAAATTTCTTATTTAATTACAATATAATAAAAGTGATCTTATTTGTTAATAGAAAAGTATCTAAAGCAGCAATTGCTCTTGTGCCTTTACTGGGGATTACAAATTTTATATTAGTAATATTACCCGAACCTCATGCAAAAAGTCCAGAATTATTTGCTTTATGGTCATATTCAGCACATATATTACATTCATTTCAAGGCCTAATGGTATCAATACTATATTGTTTTATAAACAAAGATGTAAGTATTTTAAATTTATAGATTAATTTATTATTAATATTATTAAATTTCTGGTGATGAAATTATTTAAGACCCAAGAAGTATTAATCAAGTTTAATTTAATAAAATTACAAGAATTAAATATAACGGAATTACTTTCATAATTATCAAGCTATAATTTTATAATGCAAAAAACTTTTTAAAAATAAGAAAAAGAATTTTTTATTCAATCGATTAATTTTTTCGTGTTAAGTATTAAAATAAAGTACTTTATGATAATTTCATAAATATTATTATATTAATATATATAATGGACAGATAATTATAAATATTTATTATATTTTATACAGAGTATATTAAACATTACTATGATATTTCAGATCAAAAATTCGTTTGATAAACGAATGATGCTTCAAAAATCACGACGAAATTTTGAGATGGAAATGACCTGAATTAGAACTTAAATTAATATTATCTACTTAACATTATACATTTTCATTAATATATTATTTGATTTTTTTCTAATGAACATTTATAAAACCAAATATAAACCATTGGTTTTAAAAAATGTTTGGCATTTAATATATTACCTAATTAGTTAATTAAAAAAATCATTAATTTAATTTTATATACAACAATAATATTTACCATAGGTATTAAAATTAAAACTTATTTCTTTTGTTTTTATATAATATTATTCGTTTTTATTTCTTAATATAATTATTTTAAAAATATAACATGTTTTTTCAGTATATTCATATAATTTATACTACGCTATCGCATTATTAGCATTATTTGTTTTACCTTATTTTGATAGTTATTTTTAGAGGTTGATACTGTTATAGGAGAGTATAATGTTTTGAAATTATGGTAAAGAGTGGAGTGTCTTTTATTCTTTGGAATTTATTTTAAGAATGTTTAAATTATAACTCAATTCAAACAAACCATTAAAAGTTAGTATGTCACCTTTTATCATTACTTGGTTTTAGTTTTTAATTTAAATTAGAACGAAAATCTATAGAAGATAATCTTAAAAATTAAATTTGTGAGATTTGTAATTTATAAACTCTTTTTGTAGTTACTCTGTTGTCTATAAACTTCACAATACAGTAAGTTAGAAGCACAATTTGATTATTAAATAAGTGTGTGTGCAATCGATACGTTTTTCTGTAAGATTTTCATAACAAATTAATTACTTTTTGCTTCAATGAAGAATTATGAAAATGAATAACTTTTTTTATGTTCATCAAAATTCATAAGTTTTTTTATCTATAACCTAAAAATGTTTTGTTACTTCATTCATTAAGGATCAAAACTATTAACCTCCTCTCATTCATACTGAAAACCAATTAACATACCTGTCTTTCATACGAACTAAATATAATGTCTAACCCTATTTATCCCTATGGTCAATAAAATTATATTTAATTACCTAAACCTTAATTTTCTAAATTCCATAGTTATCTATATAAATGGCTCAGTTTCTCTTTTTTCAGCTTTTTACCTGTATACTCATGTGTACATGAACTTCACGTTTCTTTTACTAATAACCTACCACCCCTCATCCTTCTCTTTACGGCAGAGGGTTATGCTATTTATGAAGCCATTTGTCTCGTTTACAAGCTCTAGAATCAAATACCTATAGTTCGAAACTATCCTTCTCGTTATTCTTATTAAATCATCTACAAATTACATCAAATAATCAAAGCTTTTTTAGCTTTATTCGATTTATATTGTCTCCCGGCCACAATGGTATACATGATAACCAGGGTTTGTAAGTTCATGCCCTAAAAAATGCTTAAATAAGCATGCATTTATGCACTTAAAATTGGCAAAATATGCTTTGAAATATGCCTTAAAAAGTTCAAAAATATGCATTATATGCACTTAAAAAAAATCATAAATAATATTTGAAATTACATGAATTATCCATTCATTTTTTTTTATAGTTATATTTTATTTTTTGTCACAGTTAAAAAAATAGATTTTAAATACTATTTAATACTATTCTAGAGCCTTCATGAACTGCGTACTCATGTACTTTTTTGTCAGTTATTAATTTCAAATCTGAAACTTTTGAAATAAATGTATTAAGAAAGTATGTATTTATCAAGAAGATAAGAAAAGAAAATATAATATAATTTTTATTTTTAATTTTATATATATATTCCATCATTTGATAGATTCTAATATAATGTTGTATAATATGCCCGATAAAATAGAAATATAGAAATATGCATAAATATACCAAATATACAAAAACATGCCAGATATGCAAAAACATGCAAAATAAGATTTCACATATTCAATCGTCGTACCTTGAAATGAATTTCTATGTCATCTAGCATTAAATAAAACTTTGCAAGATTAATATGTAAATGCGTGAACTTACGAGCCCTCATGATAACGATATAGTAGCTAATAGACTAGCCAAATCCACTTACCTTCCTTCATTCAATTACCTGGTACTGACTTTACTCTTATCGTCACACTTTCAACCTTTCGTCCAACCATCAAAATAATCTGCCTACCAATTTTGTTACTACATTATACAAAAATATTTTTCAAAATATACCTAACAATAAAACTTGGTTCAATAATATAAATTTACCTAGATTTATTATTATTCGTTTCAACTGACCATGTAAGTCATTCGCTTCTACCCAACAACGCCCTATAACTTGGTCTAAATGCCTCTCCTCTTTGCAAACTTTTCTTCGAAAGTGTCTGCTACATTCAACACATTATTTTTGATTGTTTGTCCTTAGATTATAAACGTTTAATTTTACTCAATTTCCCTAGTGCCTTGAATATTCCTCTCAATATGTCCTACATTCTCAACTCAAATTCAGAATTGTCATAAAGACATAATCACCTTAATTTCGAACACTGGTTTCGCCATTCAACATTTATGTATATTAGTAAAATTGTGTATAATTGTGTAAAATAATTTTAACTATCAAACAGCATTAACTTGTTCTAAAAGCTATAAAAGTCTTTTTTAAAAAAATAAAATATTACAAAGTAGTATTATATACATTGATGACACACCTTTCACGAGAAACGATACACTATAAACAAAATATAATTTGTATAATAGATGTATTTATACACTAAAATTATTGAATTAAATCAGTGACTATGAAATGTCTAATAACGATATTCAGTGTCACGAAAACCGGATGTGCATAGTTGTTGCGAACACGGGCCCCAAGGCTTACATACATTTGAGGGGCCTTCTAGTCCCAGACTAAAATAAACTACACTTTACAAACACACAATTATTTAATAATATTATATTATTATTTTATAATAAAAAAAAAAACTTTTTTAAAATTCAGGTAAGGATGTTATAATATTTTAGAGTAATATATTTATTTAACAATTAGTCCATTGAGTATTTAATTAGGCATACATCATATTTACTTAAATTACTTAAATAAATTTACTGCATAATTATATAGTGAAGTATAATATACAACAGTTATAGGTATTTAATTTGATATATGTACATATAGCATACATAATCAGATGTGAAACATGTTTTAAAACCTAAAAAAATTGTTACTTATAAATAAGATGTACAACAAAAATAAATCCTAGGAAGGGGCCTAATATAATTACCATACATGGGCCTTCTATTTTGTAGTTGCGGCACTGACGATATTATGGATTTTCTAGATTTCTAGATTAATTTACAACCATTTTAATCTGAGTATTAGTTCGTACTTACATTTTATCGTAAAATAAGTAAATAATTATAAACATTACCACATAAAATATAGAAAACATTTAAACTCTCTTGTATGGAATCTATATTCTTAAGAAATTTTAATCTAATTCTTCATATAGTGTTGTTGGGTCTTGGTAATACAATTGTATAACAAAATAATATATTTTAACCAATCTTCAATACCAAATAAATATAACTCGCAAAGAATTTAAATTCAAACGAACAGTGTAATGTATCAGCATTTGATTTCATAACTGTCTTGTTACTCTTGTGACGTGATTTTTTAATATTTGATAGCGAATGTCCGCTGGTTGAGTTATCTAGTAGAATCCCTACGATAAAGCTTGACTATTTCTGCTCTGGATACCCTAATGTTCCTTGATTATTATTTATAGATTTGTAACGGAACTTCAAGAACTCATTATCTCGTAAGATATATAATTATTATATGAACAACAGAATGATATTTATTAGGTATTTAAAATATAAAATGAAGTAATTAAATATATACTATAGTAAATACATAGTTATTGAACCACGGTGTTGAATAATGATGGTCTAAATGATAGACGAAAATGAAACATACTAAAACAATGGCCTGAACGGTCACACGGAGTCACGCTTGCAAACCTTTAAAAAAAAAACAACAGGGTCCCAAGAGTATATTTTTGCGACCCTAAAATATCTTGTGTACAGTTTTCAAAAAATTAAAATGTATTTAATTTAAAAATTGAAAAACTATATCCAACTGAAATATTAACAATATAATAATAAACAATAATATAAACAAAAATAAATATTATAAAATATAATAAAATATAATATAAACAATATATATATAGTGTGTTCCCGCTAAGAGGAACCACTAAATATTTCGGTTCAATGACCTTGTATTGAAATGAGATTTTCACTGAATGACAGACAATACTTAAATACACATTTTTAGATAAATTTCAAATTTTTAACACTTCGAATCGCGCATGCGTGGTACAACTTACTTTTTTTTTAAACGGTAACACCAATTTTTTTTTTACATATTCGGATAAAGTATTATTTTCTAAATAATTTATGTATAAAAAACTTTTTTCTAATTATAAAATTTGCATTTGAAATTTAACGATGAACTTTAATATTTACGAGTAATTTGTTTTAGACGAATTTTAAACTAAATTCAACTTATATCACTTATTACTATTTAATATTGTTAAATACTTGTTTACACACATATAAGATATAAATAAACACTTTTTTATCGTAATTTACTCTCAATTTTTTTCATTCATTATTCTGAAATAAGATAGCTAATTGAAAGTAATGAAAACTATAAAATTGTACACACTTAGAATTTGGAATCAAGATTTATTTGTTTGCAATTAATTTCTACAGTTCTATTTAACAAATTGTTTAAAATTTCCATTTTGATGTTCCAAACGTTTTATAAATTAAGTTGATGTGGCAGCGTTTATTTGTTCTTCCCTTAAATTATTACAAGCTAGTCGTATTTTATTTTTTAAATCTTAGAGATAAATAGGTGTGTCCGCAAATACAACATTTTTTAAATGTCCCCATAAAAAAAATTCCAATGGGGTCAAATCTGGAGATCTTACTGGCCATGGAATTACTTCATGGGTACCAATCCATCGGTTAGGAAAAATGTCATTTAAATATTGTTTAACAATGATGGCGTTATGTGCTGGTGCACCGTCTTGTTGAAAATACATATTTTTTCGCGTGGCTAATAGAACATTTTCTAACAGTAATGGTAATTGATT